GACGGCTCCCCTACCAATGGCCACTTGGCGATGCGGCTCACGTGACCCTGGCGCCCGGCACCGAGTCCGCCCATCAGTCACGTAGCCGAGCCGCAGGAGGGGAGGCTCCTCCCCCTGCACCGCGCAAGCTATGCTGCTGCTGCTACGATATATCCAGCCGTCGCGTCTTTCCGCTTTTCGCCCCGATATATACCTGCGTGCGCCGTTGTTGCATCTGATATTACAAGAGCTCCATTCGGGTTATTGACTTTTCGGAAGGCAAAGCTTAACGAGCCGAGCTTGAGACGCTCCGACTCGATAATATGCAAGATTCTCGTGCCTCGCTTGACCGCATGCGGTCGCTGCTATTGAGTAAGGTTTCGTGATTCCTGAACCGATGCCTCGAGATTAAAGTGTGGCCTCTGCCGCGTAGAGCCGTTGTTTGATCATGTAGCTGATAACGACACTGCTCGTCGAGATTCTGCAAATGTATTACTTTTGTAATTTATACATCGTGACACTAACTTGGTCAACGCATCTCATCGTCTTTCCCCTTCTAGTATCCTACTGTTTCCTCTCGATTTTGATTATTTATTACTACCATGAAATTTAATTCAATACGGTGGTCGCAGTTTTTTTTCGACTCATGCGGACGTTTTTTTTTTTTAGTCAAAATTTCTTCGAGGACTTGTTTTTCTCAAGAAGCAATATTTCAATTTAGATGAAAAAGATCGAAAAATGTGTCCGGAATAAAGCTCCAAAAGATAATTGAGACAACTGGCGGTAGCATCGTGACTGCTCGGCTACTGTTTTCGACACTAAAGAAGGGAATCCTCGAATTATAAAAGAGACCACAGCGAGATTGAATGTATACCACTGTGTATATTGAGTAAGGCTCTGTGCGCGACACGTTTCGTACATGCGACTGCTTTCTTATTGATAATTCGGAATCACACGCGTGCGAAGCTTGTTTGCTAATCTATAAGTACGTGCCGAGGTACATACAGCCGCTCGATTCATGCATTATTCATGCTATCGCCGATGAAAACACTTGGTTGCTATTTTCACTCGTCTCTCCGCCGCGCACATACGCGCACGTAGCGTGAATTGTACATGTCTCTTCTTCAGGCTCTTCTTTTCTCACGCTTGACTAATTACAAGTTTGCGAGAAATTATTGATGCTTCAATTAGTCGCAGTCCAGTAGCAGATACATAAATTCTTTTTGCCTAAACGAACACTCTCAAACTTCTTAACTTGTAAAAATGATTAATGATTTGCAACATTTACATTTTTCGCCTCCATATAAATCCTATCTGTACGAAGCGGCAGTGGAATTTTTAATTATTCGCATTTGCTTGAGCCATTTTTGTGTGAACATTATTAACATAGAGAGGGTTAAAACAACTTTTTAGACAGTTTTTCTAATCTCAATTTGTAATAATAAGGCCAAAAAATTTTTTCCTAACAAAATCAATAAATCTTTTAAAGTCACATATGTTTTTTAGTCTTCTGGCTTCATATGTGTATCAACACGTATACGTGAATGCTTGCATACGAACACAAGCTCATCAACTCAACAGCGGGTCGAAAGGACCTATAAATCGACCTTCGAGCTTTGTGACAAAGTTAATCTCTCGTTGGTTTATTGATGTGATGTTAAACTAGGTCAAACAGGAATTTCGAGATTTAGTTCAAATTTTTTTTTAAATTTTATAAATAGTTATTTATTTACAATATTTAACAAATTTCAAGCTAAGATAAAAAAAATTTAATCTTTATCTTGAAAAAATACATTTGTAATTATTATTTTAATATTAAAGAGACGATATTAATCAAAGATTTTAAGATTTGTGATTTACAAGTTTAAGCAACAAAATAAAAAAAGTGACAGAAGAAATAAAAAGAAAGATAGACTGGTGCGTCGCTTTGCTACACACGAGAGAAGCTAATCTCATTGCAGATCGTTCAGACGTGTCGCAAACTTATCTACATAGTCAAAATTATGCTCGACTACAAGATTCTACTTTAGCGTGTATTTTTTCGTGTTAACATTTCAATTTGTACTAGACTCGCTGAAATTCGTAACACACTATGTTCCTTATAATGTTATGATATTTTTTCAAGAGTAAGCAACAAAAAATATTTAGTCCGTTAAATTAATGTTAATTATATAATAAAAATACCCAAAAAACATGTATCAGAAGAAAGTTTAATTCAAAATTTTCCGCTCATTTTAGTTTCACAGTTAATAATAGTTATTCTTGAGTGAATGGATAAAAAAAAAGCAAATTTGGTACATTTAATTTTTGTTTTAAATATTAAGCAGATGATGTTGAGGTACTTAATGAGTTGGGTCGGTAAATTTCAAACGGTAAAGAGGACATTGAATTTTTGTTATTTTTTTCTTCAGGTGAATTAACCTCTTTTCATCGTATACCTGTATACAAGCGTACGAGCAGAAGACGCAGGCATAAGGAACACTTTGCATGTAGCAGTACTTAGCATGCATCCTCAGATATGCCAAAGTCCTTATTGTGTCGTTGCACGTGATCATAATGTATAATAAACTCTGGCGTGAAGTATTGCTGTGAATTTGCGAACGATGGTATATACTTAGACGTCGTTCTTTGACTTTTTCTCTTCCTCTTTCTCTCTTTTTTTCTCGGTATTTTGATTTTTTATTTCGTGTATAGCTCGCGATAACTGCATCGTCGCGATGATGCGCTGCGACTTACACACATTGTGGCTGGCGTACACGTCTATATATTTACTGTATGGCAAGCGAGCGAGTTACGACAAAGTACCTGCATCTCTCCTGGCTTTCCAGGTATGAATACGTCATTTCGTCGAGCTGCTCAAGTCTTCGAGCTACCGCGCTGAAAGAGACTCGTTTTTCTTCTTTCCCTGTCGTGACACGCTAAGTATGATAGAACGTCGCTTATTCATCAACTCATATAAACACAAAAAGCCAGTATTAAGGCGCTCGGTGTCAAGCCGTTAAGACTTTTACATCATTCCGTTGTATTGAATTGGTAATGAATTTAAAGATGTTGCGAGACGCGTTCACACTTGCACAGAGTCCACGATCTTTCACTCCTTTTTTTTCTCTCTTCCTTTTTTCTCTATCTCTCTCTGTGCTCTCTCGGTCTTTCGCGCGAACTCGTAATACAACACCTTCGGCGCAAAAATATCGCGCTGAGAATTCGCCTTCCCGCTTCGCACGCGGGACCTATCTTTGTTCGAAATCTAAATGAGTCGGGCTGGTGCTCGGGAGCGCAGAGAGGAGCGGCTTTTGCGTACGCGCGCGCGAGCTCGGTCATTCGTTATGCGCTGCAACGGAAACGGCATCGCTCGCTCGCGCCGAGAGAATCGACGCCGGAGCTTATTTCCGAAAGTTTCGGAAGTCTCAATATCGCTGGAAACGAATCGGAATCAGGAGCTCGTTAAAACGAGCGAGAGAGAACGAGAGATTGTCTTTGCAAGGCTATTAGCTATATCGCGCTATTTCGCTCGCGGACTTGCTGCTCGTAAGTCTTGATGTGTACTAAAGGTCGAAATGTGTCCCTTTAACGCACGCCGCACTCGGGCGCTATACCGCAGGGACCTCAGGAATTAAGCGAGCCAAGAGCAGCAGTTTATTACCAGCACGTGGGAGTAGCTCGAGCTAGCGCGAGTATACTACAGCTCCGAGAGCGAGACGCAGTCGGGCAAGCGCAGGTACATATAGTCTAACTCACACCCTGAGACCCGAGCCACATATTATCTATTATAATTCGATAAAGTCTGCACCGATGGCTTTTTCGAGCTTATTTTCAAACTTGTTTGTTAATATTTTGTAATTAATTCACGATGAGAACTTTTCGAAATTTCAAATTTAACAAGGCAAACCGTTACATTACGAGCCCTTTCGAATAATTTCTCATTCAATTCCTGTTTGTGAAATTTTAATTTAAAAAAATGTACGTTACATTCGAATAAGAAAACTGTACAAGAGTAATAAAAGGGTAATTACAAAAAATGTCCGTACAATTGTAAATTACGAATAAATGTTCGATGTAAGATTAGGATAGTCGCTGGAATATATTATATCGTGGGCTCGAAAGTTATGAAGGGCAAGTCGTGTATACGGAGCTGGCGCGCCATATAGCTGCGTGTAACTACCCTCGAGTCATATATAGAACCTTGGTATTTAGTGGCGCGGCCCAAAGCAAAGGCATATATAAGTATATTAGGAGATAGACGCACAACTAACTGCCGGACCAATTAACTTTCAATTAGGCTACAGAGATAGCTCTTATCGCTCTGCTGCGAGGAGCGACTTTACTGGGGGTAACTCGCAGTCGCAGTTCCCTCCACTTTCTAAAGCTCGGCACTGCTCGCTGCCAAGATATACCTTTACCCCCTCTGTCTCACCGTAATATGTGCTGATGCACGAGAGTCGCTGGCGGAAAGGATTAAGATTCAAACGTCGCTGCGTTACATTGTTATGTTCGTGCGAGTTGTTACGTTGGCGCACCGTTGCTCTGGAATTCATACGCGTCGCTTTCGAGATTTCAGTGCGACCGACTTGCGACGCTATAAATGCTTCGTACACCACGTCGAGCTCGAAATTTCGGCATAATATGAGGTACAGTGCACAAAGTCTCGAATTTGAAAAAAAAGCGTTAACGGTTAACGAGCGAAAAGAAAAAGACATCGACTCGTTCGAATTGTTTCTTTGGCAATGCGTTGCGCAGCAGAGACACAAATGGGCTTTCGCGTGCGATTAACATGTATTCGATGCTTCGTGACCGTATTCACGTCGCGTAACGTACAGTGCTACAGCTTGGACAACGAACTCGGCACCGAACGAGACTGTTGATGCACTATAGTAAATTCGTTACTTTTGCATATTGGTAATATTTTTCAAATTGCGTCCTACAAGCACTCATCTTCTCCTCTCTGACCGTTATTCTTTCACTTCTTTATTATTGAATAGCAATGGCTACTGACCAACTCACACAGATACACTGATACTTACACGTATGCGTGTGTTTTGATGCTGCCGTACAACTTGGCCATCCTTTGTCCGGCTGCAGGTAGAACTTCACACAGCTATTGGTTGAAGTCGATTATTTTGGATTCAACGTTCAGTTATCAGTAGTTAGTATCAAATTTTGAATATACTCACACGTATGTACGAGTACTTCGTAGTATACGAGGGGACGTTACGAAACGATCGTGTGCACTGGTCGTTCGAATAAAACACTGCTTTACAAAAACACTATTTTACTGTTCACACATACAAAAAGTATAAACGAATTTTTAATATAATATATTATATCCAGTCGTATCGATAAAGAGAAAAGGCAAAACTCGAATTCTCGATAAAACGTCGCGTTCGAATATCGAGTCGCGCGAGCAACGTTCGAAGACGGCCGTTGCAGCTCTACGATGTCGCGCGGTCGGCCGACGCTTCGCTGTGTTCGTCTATCGTTGTTTTGGCGCGCACTTCTCTGTCGAGTCGCTACGCAGTCCTAGTGGGTCAACGATTTGTTTTGCTTATTCGGTCAGTTTAATTTGCTATACGTATATTATAGCAACTGTAACGTAACCGTCTATGCGTGTAACCGTCCGTGCGACTGCAGCTACGAAACGGAGCCGGCGCCATTTTTGTTACATTCGCATACCCATTATTTTCTAAAAAAACTGTAAATTGGCAGTCTATTGAGACTATTGGTATTTGTGTGTGTGTGTGTGTTTGTATTAGTAGTAATAGCAACCGTTAAAGTTTTAGTACGCGAGTTTTCGAATTCGATTTACTTGATGATTTCAAGTTCGATAGTCGCAATAACTATGGCCAAGCCGTTAAAATTTAAAAAGTCCTTTTTTAGTCTCGGTGTAAAGTAGTGTTTGCGCGTGTGTGTATGTGCATTGTGCACTAGTGAACTGTGAACGGTAGTGTTTTTGTTTTATATTCCGAGTTCAAAGAGGTGAATATTTTAGGTTAAAAAGGCGGTTCGGCATCGTTACAAGGTAGGAGCTCTTTGTATTGTAAAGATTCACTATAAATGAACAATCACAATAATCAAGTACTGCGCGAATTTTCCCATGTCATTATCATTGCCGTTTGCCTCCTGCCGACAGCTCCTGCCTATATACTTTTTTCATTTTCCTTTTCTTCTTCTTCTTCTTTTGGCCGCTCGTGCTTGTGTTCTCACCCCTGGGACGGGCTCGATTCTTCGTTAACATAGCATTCTCGTGCTCGAGGGTGCAGAAAAGACACCCCCCTTGGCTCGTGACCAAATTTTTTTTCGCCTTACTTCTTGACTGCGCGCGAGCGACTCGTGCTGCTGCTGCTGCTACTGTTGCTGCTGGCTCTCGCGTGCCACGGTACTGCCACTGCGGAGGAGTAGCTCGAGAGTCGAGATAAATAATAAGGGAATGAATTATCGTGCCGCGGCGCGAAATAAATGCTTGCTGCAAAGCGCCCACCGTAAAGCAACTATCTTTTTTCCTCGTTCTCCCGTCCCGTGCCGTGCGAAAGGCGCACATCCGCGGCAACTTCAACGCTCTTTCATTCGTCTTGAAGATAAACTCGCCGACATAATTTTATGTACTCTCGCTATGTAATTTTCCTCTTAATTTCGCACTACGATTATCTTTTAATTTCGTTTTCGCTTGGCATTTTTTTCACCCAAATTCATCGCTTTTTGCTCTCGGTGGATCAGCCACGCGCCGTTTTGATTAATTATTCGAGCTTCGCACGCGAATATCGTAATGAAATCGAGATCATACAAGCAATAAGCGTGTCGCGCGCGATCATGGCTTTCAGGCACACCGGCCTGTATACACGCTCAAATTAGATTAATGTGAACGAGACATTGATGTACGAGCCTCGAAAACACTAATACTGTTTTTTAGCTTGGAACCGAGCCGAGTCATATTGAAGGCATCTCGCTAACAGTATAAGCTCGCTATAATAGTCGAAAAAAGTCACTCCCGTAAATGATTATAGGCAGCTACGGGGACATATGAAGCTTGTATTCCTTCACTCCCCCTATATATATATTTGTGCAGTCGGGCTGTTCCGAAAGTTAGATATGGCCGTAATTTTTTTTCTTCTCGTGTCGAACAAGAAGAATGTCTTTTGCTGTTATGTTGCCTGGCTGTTACGAGGTGTCGTAACGATAATTGTTTTTTCGCCCAAGATTGACGCGCAACGTGTCCCGAAAGAAGCAGCACGAGCATCCGAAAATATCGTGTTTATTTGACAATCCACGATGATCATGGGGTCCTTTCGATCATTTGTTATATTATGAAGCAGTCGATTGTCTTGCAAAATGCAACGAATTCCCAGTACTCAAACTCTATACATGCGGCAATAACAGTTTAAAGATCGGAGCTAGCTATTCAGGCGGAGTGTGCGCATGAAGTGCGGTTAATCTAGCCAATTGAAATGCACGCAGGCACTTTGCTACTGCTGTTCGCTGTCGGCTACATGATTTCATGGAATAGCAAAATGTACATATCTGTACAAACAATCAACCTGTCAATTGGAATCCAGCTGTTACGCCTGATTCGTCCAGTCTGTGCACATACATAAAATCATGCAAATATAAATACAAATGCAAATACAAATAATACAAATGTAAATATGAAAATGAATAAATATCCGCGCGTGGATAAATACATATATACGCAAAAGCGAGATATATTTTTAGGATTTACGCCGGAACTTGCCTCGGTGACTTTGGCTTCTCTATTTATAAGGAAATAGAGAGCGATACAAAAGTAAATTAACGACCTCCGGATAAATATCTTTTTCTGACGCGAGCACTATTGTTTATTCTTTTCAATTTTAACTAGCTTTATTTAATAAGCAATCGAGATTCAATATTGTTTTGCGGCGTTACATATTTTTTGAATAGATACTGTCTTTTCAAAAATGATACGCCCATTAATTTCACCTGTGTTCGATATTCTCTAGATCATTATCAAGATCTATAATGCAGACGTTTAATAATATTCCAAAAATTAACATTTTAATGAGCGCGACGGTTTGATCGTTGGCAATTATTTGCAATAACGAAAACATTCAACGACACATATTATGCATGTAAAATATTTTTATTTGCGTTCATGATGTCGTTTTATGCGCAGCATCTTATTATGAATATTACGTGTCAATTGCTTCGAAGATTTTATTGCTGACATGATTCACGAGGCATGCCAGGCTTGTAAATGTCGGTTGCGCGCGAGCGCAGAAACCGGTACTGGTTATGAATTTCGAACAGAAGAAATGTTCGAGTTTGAAAAGCGATATCCTTTTTGATCCAAGCCCTATGTAAGCAAATAATTCGATGAAGTAAGCGTTTGGAAAAATAAGTGGAAAATGCGGAGGCCCATGAATAGGGAAAAAAGTTTCCTCGTATTTTGTGGGTTAATCCAGGTTCGTACAGTGTGTAGCACACATGCAGGAGTAAAGTCTGAGTATTTTCATGGACGCTGACGGAAGGGTCGAGGAAAAAGAAAAGAAAAAATAGCGGGTAGATTTCGGCGGGTAGCTGGAATCTGGTCGATCGGACGAGTCTCGCAGTTGATTAGACTCTATTTACTAGAGGCGAGTTTACTGACTTTCTCTCTCTCTTTTTCTTGCCAATGTATACATATATACGGCTACGGGTACGAGCGCTGCACATTGACAGCCTCTATCTCTTTCTGGCTCTGTCGTTGACTCGTTCAATCCCTTTGGCTTTCACCCTTGGATCCTTCCCTTTTTGGCCTATTTCACCCCCTTTGCGGCCAATCAAGCACCATAGACGAGCTACGCGTCTCCTCATTATACTTGTCGATATTCGTTTCATTGAAGTATACAGAGACACAGAGAGGGGCTACATAAATGTTATTCTCAGCCGACAACTTTCACCCTAACCCATATTACGTTATTTTCTTCATTTTCGAGTGTTGTTTTTACTAGAACAAAAAACGTTGACACTTCTTTTACTGATTTTACTCTCATTGTTTGCTCATTTTTCTTTAACTGTGTCTGTTTAAATCTAAAGCCACGGCATAAACTGTGTAAGGTAACACGGAAGAAAATAAGTCACAAAGTCTAATTACAATACACTGTAGGTAAATTCTGACTGATTAACGATTGAATTTCATCCTAAGCTTTTAAACTAATAAATACTTTCGTTTTATCGGCATGAAAATTATTTTAACAAAAAAATTATGCACATCAATGAATGTTGACATTAGCGTGAATTATATTTATGGTGTTTCTAATGCTCAGTCATTTACTGTTTAATCCCCCCTGATTCGTTTTCATAAAGACCCTATACAGTTTTTTGGTAAAATGCAAAAAGTTTGAAGTTTTCAAGTTGAACCAAAGTCAAAATAAATGACAGCATCGAAAAAACTTTTTTACCAGCGTAGCTACAGTTTGGAAATAAAAGGCCCGAATTGTACTAGCAGAAAGCGAAATAACAGGGTGTCGAACAGCCCCATCAGCGAAACGCGTGTCGCTGCCGCCACCGTCGACGTCGCGATGAACCGAACTATATAGGCAAAGGAGGAACAAGAACGTGAAGGCGCAAGCACAAGGGGGGGAATAATCAAAGCCCCTCCGGCGGTATTCGTTCAACTTTAAAATCGAATAATGCCTATTAAAATGACAATACGGCCACTCGTACACGGGACTTGGGTGACTAAACATTGCGCCGTAGCTTCGACTGTGTACGCTTTCGGCATTCCAAAATTACCATACGGGATCGGGTTACTGCCAATTGGTTTATTCGTGTACGCCACGCGCGCTCCTGCGGCTCTTATCTCTTTTGTGCCTTTCGCTGCCTCTTGCACTGGCTTCTTTTGCATACAGTGCAATCTCGAATTTTTACTCTTTATCTTCAATAAGCTACCGTATGTTAGCTTAATTAAGACTGACAGCTATCTTTTTGTTAGTACTAATTTCTTAGTAATCAATTAAAAGCTTCTTCGAGCTTATACTATTCGCATCGAAAATCTAATTTTAAAAATGTTAAGTTTTCAACATTAATATAACATTCTCTTTAGAATTGTTGAATAAATTTTTATTCTTGATTCAACATGGAAAATATCTATATCCCTTGATAAAGTGAAGAAATAAAATTCGTATACACATTTTTTAATTTTTTTTACCGAATGTTCGGTTTTTTTTTTTACTGAGTGTTCAATGGTTAGTGCTATGAATTAAACATTTTTAGTAGAATTTGTATTTTAAAGAAAGTAGTTACCACGCAAAGACTGATCTTTAATTTTAAAAATTCGTTCCAACTCATGCCAAATTCCATAATGTAGTTATTCATAGATAGTGTACCGAAAAAAGTAACTTTATTATTAAATAGCAATGCACGTTATACTCTGGTTTACTATATTTGCTACGTGATTAAGTATTTTCTTGTAAAGCGGTCCTGCGGGATTAAA